AAATCCCAAATACATTTTACTTTATCATTTAATCCACACAAATTATCAAAATTTTTTGCCTGCTCAACATTTTTGTTTTAGTTTTATAAAACATAAAGTTTCCATGACTTAAAAAGTTTAAAATCTTTGATTTGCAATTGTGCTATGACAGTAAATAAATTGCTATTACTTAGAGGCCTAAACAATTTTTTTCCCTAAGTCTGTTTCTATAGGCAGACATACTTCAGTAATTTCACAGATTTGAAAGAAAAGTTTTTTTTAATTAGAATTTTTGTTAACATGTAGGGTACCCATAAAGTTTAATGTGTACAATGTGATGATTTGATATATGTATATCTTGTAAAAGGCATACAGAGTTGTAGAAAAATGGGAAATAGATTTAATTGTCCTTCATTGTGTGATGTTATACTTCATAGCAGTTTGGTGGCAAATGTCAGAATATCTCATTGGGCCAGATGTAACTCATGGGATCAATTGAGCAATATTTAAATTTCACTGTGATGTTAGGAATATGCCCTAATAGCTTACATTCATTGGGTAAATTATTTAAGACAGTGAATTTTTTAAGATTTTATTTTTAAGTAATCTCTACACCCAACATGAGGCTTGAACCCACAACCCCAAGATCAAGAGTCGCATGCGCTGCCGACTGAGCCAGCCAGGCGCCCCAAGACAGTGAATTCTAACTGAGATATTTTGTTGTTGTTCACATGATGAGGAACAAATAGCTGTATTTTTCTTTGTGGGCAGTTGAAGTCAATTTATTGATTTGGACTCTTGGTTCAAAAGTTGTCCTTAGTACAAGTTCCCTTGGAGTTGCTCTGACATTTCTGTAGAGCCAGAAAGTATTGATAAGTGGTTAAGATTAAATCCGTTGGTGAGGAGGGGTGTCTGGAGCTATGCTCTCCACTGTGGTAGCCACTAGCCTCATGTGGCCGTAGAACACTTAAAATGTGGCTAGTCCAAATTCTCTGTAAACAGCAGAGAATATGCACCAGATTTTGAAGACTCCATGCTTTAAAAAAAAAAAAGAATGTAAATAGCTTCTTAATAATTTTTATACTGATTGCATGTTGATAGAATATTTTGGATATTTTGGGATATTGGGATATCCAGTATTGAGACAAAATATATTTAAAAAATAAATAAAATAAAAATAAAACTAATTTTGCTGGGCACCTCGGTGGCTCAGTTGGTTAAGCGACTGCCGTCGGCTCAGGTCATAATCCCAGGGTCCTGGGATCGAGCCCCACATCGGGCTCCCTGCTCAGGGGGAAGCCTGCTTCTCCCTCTCCCACTCCCCCTGCTTGTGTTCCTGCTCTCGCTGTCTCTCTGTCAAATAAATAAATAAATAAATAAAAATCTTTAAAAAAATACTGAACTTGGATTAGTGTTGGACATTCTGAACCAAACCTTTTTTTTTCCTTTATTTCTTTTTATTGTAGTGAAAAATATGTAACATTAAATTTATTATCCTACCATTTTTAAGCATATAGTTCAGTAGTGTTAAGATCGCTAGAACTTTTGAGCACCTGGGTGGCTCAGTCGTTAAGCGTCTGCCTTCGGCTCAGGTCATGATCCCAGGGTCCTGGGATCGAGCCCCACATCGGGCTCCCTGCTCAGCGGGAAGCCTGCTTCTCCCTCTCCCACTCCCCCTGCTTGTGTTCCCTCTCTCCTCGTCTCTCTCTCTGTCAAATAAATAAAATCTTTTTTTTAAAAAAAAAAAGGTCGCTAGAACATTTTCTTCTTGCAAAACGGAAACTCTATACACATTAAACACACTTCCCCCTTCTCCCTCCCACTCATACCTTATGTTTTAAATATAATTTTGGAGATCTGTGTATGATGTGTTTTCTTTTTTTTCCCCTTTCCTGATATATAATTGACATATAACATTGTGTAAGTTTAAGATGTACAACGTGATGATGTGATATAGGTCTGTCTTGTAAAATGATTACCACAAGATGTGTCTTCTTAAATCCCACAAAGAAATTGAATATGAATTTTGGTGAAGAAATTATAGCTAACTTGGGGCGCCTGGGCGGCTCAGTCAGTTAAGTATCTGACTCTTGATTTTGGCTCAGTTCATGATCTCAGGGTCGTAAGACTGAGCTCTGTGTTGGGCTCCATGCTAGGTGTGGAGCCTGCTTAAGATTCTCTCTCAGCCTCTCCCTCGGCCCCTCCCTCTCCCTCTCAAAAAAATAAATAAGAAATTATAGCTAGCTAATAATGAAAAACTTGCAGTTTATCCATTAGTCACATATGTCCGTATTAGCAAACAGGCGAAGTATTGTAGTATAGCTCTTTTCCCCTACCATTTCTGATTTTAGAGCATGGTTCATGCTAAGAAGTAAAAATGTGCACAAGCTGTCCAAAAGGCGTTTTTTTCAGGGACTGTTAGTGTGTTAGGTGTTACTGTCTCTGCTGATATGGTAGCTCTACATGACTCTGCACTGGTTCGTCCCTTTAGACAGCTGGGGCAAAGAGAAAGCTTTATCCAGGCTGCAGATGGCGGATTTGTTCTGTCTCACTAGCCTAACTAGGGCAAGTTATTAGACGGGTCCATTTCAAAAGAAAGCAACAAGCCAGCTTTTGGTTGCCTTAAGCTCATTTTTTCTTTTAACTGATAAGGTATTTTTATTTTAAGTGCATCAAGGGAGATCATCTTTTTAAAGGAATTTTGCACCAACTCTGCTACTGAAATGAAAAGTCCTTAATCTCTCAAATATTGACCCTAATTTTAAATCTTTGTATATTTGTGTTCTTGATTTTTAATGTAAGGCAAAACTACAATTAGCTTTACACTGCTTTCTTGATAATCTCTTCTAATATTATGGCAAAAAAAAAAAAAAGCCATTTCCAGTAGAACCCTATCACCATCTTTAACCCTATGCCCCCCAAGCCATTAGTGCTCTCCTCTTGCTGGGATCAATCACTACCACCTGTAAGTTGATTATCTATCTGGATTTCATTGTCCCTTCATCCCTCACCTGACTGTTCACACGTGCTAGAAACTCAGCATGTCCCCTACTGAACTGAACCGTATAGCTCCAGACACCAAACCTGCTTCTCTCCATTCTTTATTCATGTCTTGGGCAAGCCATCCATCAATGTAAAATCTTTTTATTTTATTTTATTCTAGTAATTTCTATCCCCAACGTGGGGCTCAAACTCACGACATGGAAATCAAGAGTCACACTCTCTACCAACTGAGCCAGCCAGCCTCCCCAAAATCTTTACCTTTTAAAATTTCAGCTAATGTATAATAACTATATAACCTCTAATGTGTAGAAAATATATTTTGGTAAGGTTCAATAGTAAATGACTTAATTATTTGAGATGACTGCTTCTACTTAAGGCAACTGGGCACCTCCCCCCTCTATAAATTATGCACTTGGAAAATAGGGCTTGCAAGTGCTCGACATAAATAATTGATAATTAAGCTTTCCTAAGTGATAAAACTCACTGTTGTATCACCGCAGATGGCTGCCATTTGTATTTTTCAGTTTTGGTGGGTAACTTTCACGAGTTCCTCAGTGATAGATTTCGGCTGTTTTTACTCTCAAATAATGTTTTCCTATTTGTTGTTTAATTAAAGAATTGCCTCACTTTGTGGTGAGTGATTTTATCCACATTGCTTTGTGTAGTAAGTGTTTCTAGACTAAAGCTCCATGGGAAGAAAGCCCAAGAATGAATATTTGGTTCAGTTTTTCTGTGAGAATTTTCTTCTCTGTCTTCCTTCCTGTGGCTTCTTCACAGGCTGAAAGTGCTGAATCTCACTGTTTTTAGTTTGCAGTAAACTTTCAACAAAAGTTGAAATTGGTTTAGAAAAGGTATCTATACCCTCACCGTGTGACGGATGACGACGAAGCCTCTCACTGTTTCAGAAGTTCTTTGTGTTAATCCAGGAATTGAGGAGAGCCTTGAGAAGTCTTCCCTTCGGATGGCTTACCTTCCTGGGAGTATTTAGATTATAGAAATTTGGGTTAAGAGGCATTCATTTAGTCATCTAGGTTGGAAAGTATTCCCAGACGGAATTTGCAGCGTTACCTAGGCCTCCCATGGTGACTTACCAGTGCTGTCATGTCCTGGCACAGTCCTCGTCTGTCTGGGCGAGGCAGATGGGGATTCTGACCCCTGACTGCTGATCGCCTCTCGTTATTATCGTGTTGGAAATATCCCTGCCTCCTGGCTGGTCAAGGTGGGGCAAGGAGCGCCTGCCCTAACTGACATCCCTGAAACCCTGGCCGTTCGCAGTTAGTGAATTTGAGACTGAGGGTGTGTGTGCATGAGTGTGTGTGTGTGTGCATGAGTGTGTGTGCATGCAGGTGTCTCTGTATCCTAGCACTGAACTACTGTCCTGTTAAACTCCATAATCTGTGTGGTAATTGGTAGGTAAAGCCAAGGACAGCTATATTATTTACATTCGTATTTTCCTGTTAACGATCATTTTGAAGCAAATATGGAAAAGGAAGAGCCTTCGTTGGAAAGGGTTATAGAGGTCTATACGTAGTGGTAGGCAGGTACTGAGACTTCTGTGTGTAGGTACGAGCTGGCTTAGGAAGATCGAGGCAAAGAAATGTGTGTGTGTGTATAGGCTGATACCTGCAGTTAAGATTCCTGAATATACAGAGGATAGAAAGTAACCACTTCAAGTTTAAGGGGGAAAAAAACAGGAACAAAATACATGTATATGTTCATTAATGTGCACTGAGGGGCCTTCTGGTCTTTTGGCTGATGGTATTATAGACAGATCATGATAAGGATTCAACTGATAATGTTAAAAGGAAGATCGATTTATTTACGTTGGGTATCTTGGGTTCTCACTGCTATGATTTTGCTTATTTTGTGCCACTGTCCCAAATCGAGAGACAGTTCTCTTGGGATTAACAGTTACGCTAATTATTTGTTTGAAGGGTTAACATTTTTTTTGAGTTGGCTTTTTTACTTGCTTTAGTTTGACTGGTTTCTGTTTGATGTTTCTGTCTCTCCCTGTCTAGGAAGCTATTTTGCCAGCCACTTCATTATGGGAGGAGAGAAGTTTGACTCCACGCACCCTGAGGGTTACCTGTTTGGAGAGAACAGTGATCTGAACTTTCTGGGGAACAGACCAGTAACGGTATGGTTATAACCTGTTTACTTCCAGGTGGGGCTTCGGTGGCCAATTCAAACAGTCTTATAAAGTTTGTAATCACTGGCTCAGCAGTGTGTGTAGCTTGGTGTGAGTTGAGAGGGGCCCTGGGAGCCAGACCACAGCCCTTTTGCTGGCAGTGGGTCTCTTGTCCCTAGAGGCTGACCCGTGGAAAGGCTGCTGGAGTCTGCCTAAGGGTGAGGACATCTCCCATGCTCTGGCTGTCCTAAGGATTCTTGTCTCTGCCTAAATACCACCTCCACAGACAGCCCCCTCCCAGCTCTGCTAGCGCATCCTCACCTTGCTTTTTTCCTTCCTCATAGCACTTAACAGCATATAGGCTTTTATTTCTGTCTCGCCCTCTGTTTATTATCTGCCTTTTCTTTTAGAATGTAAACTTCACAGGACAGGAGGTATTTTTACTGTTGCACCCCAGCACCTAGAACAAAGCCTGGTACATACTGACCAGCCCTTAAAGATTTGTTGAATGAATGACCGAAAAGTTTTCCCTTGATATCTGAATTGATATTAGACTCTGTCTCTGTTCATTCAACTCATTCCATAAACTCTTATGGAGCATCTTCTCTGCACCCAGCTGAGGCTTCGGAAGAATGGCTGCCATATGGCTTGTGAGTAGCCGCTGTGTGCCAAGGAAGGTCCTCGAGACTTTTCAGACATTATTCCTAATCTTCATAAGGAACCACCTGACAGATTTATCATTATTATTTTTTTTAAAGTAAGCTTTATGCCTAACGTGTGAGACTTGAACTTACCACCCCGAGGTCAAGAATCTCGTTCTCGGGTATTAAGGAGGGCACTTGTGACGAGCACCAGGTGTCGTATGTAAGTGGTGAATCACGAAATCCTACACCTGAAACTAATATTACAGTCTGTTAACTAACTGGGATTTATTTTTTTTTAAAGATTTTATTTATCTGAGAGAGAGAATGAGAGAGAGAGAGCACATGAGAGGGGGGAGGGTGGAGGGAGAAGCGGGCTCCCCGCCGAGCAGGGAGCCCGATGCGGGACTCGATCCCGGGACTCCAGGATCATGACCTGAGCCGAAGGCAGCCGCTCAACCAACTGAGCCACCCAGGCGCCCAACTAACTGGGATTTAAATAAAAACTTGAAAAAATAAAAGTCACGTGCTCTGCCGACTGATCCAGCTATGCGCCCCAGAAGATTTATTATTTACCCCATTTTATAAGAGGGAGACCTGAGGTTCCAAGAAACGAGTAATGACAATACTAGCGTTTGCGAAGCGCATGCTATGTTCCAGGCACTGTTCTCAGTGTTTACATGAAGTTTTCCCAAAGTCAAATAACCAGGTCTGCATGGCCGCAGATCAGTAACCTTTCCACTGCTTCCCATTGCTTCAACATCTCCTACCTTCCTCCAGAAGCTCCCAGTGTATGGGGCAGACAAAACATAGGAACAGGGAATGTCTGAATAGCAGCAGAGGTCTGAAGTGATGGGATGCTGTGGGGCTCGAGAGCGGGAGAGGAGGACAGCGTGCGCAGGTCGCTGGTGCTGAGAAGAGGTGGAGGGTGTTGAGCGAGGCTTTGGAGATGCCTGGGTTTTCACCAGCGGGGTGGGGAAGGGGCTTTGCAGGAGAGAGGTGCAGAGGATGGGCCTAAAAGCATTCCCATTGTTGAATCAGCAAACATTTACCAAGCAACTGCTATGTGCCAGCACTGTGATAGGTGCTGGGGATACAAAGCTGAAATGAGCATGGTTTGTTTCTCCCTGGAACAAATAAGGAAGCCAGTCTGGCGGAAGTGGACATTTCCTGATGGCAAAACACGATTGGAAAGGTAGGTGGGGGACTCCATTACCTCCAGAGGTTTTTGACTCGTTCCTGTAGGCTGTGGGGAATAGTGAAGATTTTTAGGCAGATAAGTGACCTGGAGAAATTTTTTTTTTTTTTTAAATGATATGTTTCCATTGTTTTCTTCTTTTGTATCTGGAGTGACCCCCTCCTCTCATTCACAGTCCAGGAGTGCTTTCAAAATGCCCCATCCTTTCTGCTTCACGTTTAGTCCTGCCAACTAATGGTCATCCAATGTCTGCTCTTTTTTTTTTTAAAGGTTTTATTTATTTATTTGACAGAGAGAGACACAGCGAGAGAGGGAACAGAAGCAGGGGGAGTGGGAGAGGGAGAAGCAGGCTCTCTGCAGAGCAGGGAGCCGGATGCGGGGCTTGATCCCAGAACCCTGGGATCATGACCTGAGCCAAAGGCAGACACTTAACGACTGAGCCACCCAGGCGCCCCAAATGTCTGCTCTTTGATTTTGTTACTCTGCCTTAGCAATTAGAGTAGAGGGATCTTTCTTTTTTGATAGAGCCAGTAAGAATTTTGTCTCCCTCCGCGGGAGTCAGCTCGTGCTTGGAAAACGGCCCTTTCTTCTTCTTTTTTTTTTTAGATTTTATTTATTTGACAGAGAGAGACACAGCGAGAGAGGAACCACAAGCAGGGGCAGAGGCAGAGGGAGAAATAGGCTCCCCGCGGAGCAGGGAGCCCGATGCGGGGCTCGATCCCAGGACCCTGGGAACATGACCTGAGCCGAAGGCAGACGCTTAACGACTGAGCCACCCAGGCGCCCCGGCCCTTTCTTCTTATGGGGACTTGCCATTTGCATCGGTTACTCCCTTTCTGTTTCCTTCCCTCTGTTGTCAGAATAGGGGTTTTTTTGTTTTTAATTTTGAACTTTTCAGGCCATAGAGATTATTTAAAAACAAATAAATGCTTCCCTGGGGTCATTTGGAGCTTTCTGCTGGCTGGCACACCTTCCCAGTTCAGTTGCCTCATTGACACTTCTCTGTGAACCTGTGAGGGACTGAGCTCCTCCCGAAGCCCTGAGCAGCTTTGACCTTACACTTGAGACTTTTTCCCAAGGAGTGTCAACACTGGACTTTTTGTTGTTGTTTCTATGTGGTCATCATTAAATATGTTTGATGCTGTACCAAGCAAATGTTTCCAAAAGACATCAAATCAGAGTAACTTCAGATAGGCAGCTCGAACTGTAGTGTACAGAATGAACGCGGCATGTTCCCTTTTCTTTCCCCACACGTTATTCCATAGTGGTAACAGCGAACGTTTACTGGACACTTCCTGTTTGCAAGGCCTGGTTGTTCTAAGCTCTTCATCTGTGTCCTCTCATTTTGTCCTCACACCCTGATGAGGAAGGTCCTTATTGGACAGATGAGGAACATGGGCACCAGGAATTTAAGCAAGGATCAGCAAGCCTGTAAGTGATTGAATCAGGATTTGAACCTAGCAGTCCAGCTCTAGAGGCTGAAGCGCTCTGTTGTTGCTGCTCCGTCAGGGCGTGTGTGCTCAGGATCTCTGCCCACATCATGTCGGTGAGTCTGTCCGAGTAGGTCATCAAGTGCAAATTGTGAGATGCGGAGAGAGATCTAAAAGTAGACCTAGTGGCAGGGACATGATCTCTTGGAGTATCTCTTGGGAGAGCTGCTATGTGGTGTGTAATTCCATCTGCCGCTGTGACCTCTGTGTTTTGCTGTTACTGCACATCACACCTGATTAGGGGACGGCCCAGAGATTGGGGATGGACTTGTAGCTTGATTTCTGAGGAATGGACTTCTACTCTCTAGAAACATGTCCCTGGGGTCCATAACTGGGCATCCGGTTGCAGAAGAGAGAAAACAGCCTTTTAAAGGCATCAAGCAGCTCCTCCTTCCAGAGAGTATGAAGATGGGGAGAGGAAGATGTTGAAATAAATTGTTATATAAAATATAAATACCATAGACTTCTTGGCTTGTGGGACTTGTGGTCTTTCCTGTCATTTCTGACTGATCAGACTTCAAAGTATCTCCTGCAAACGTATCACTCGGCCTATAGTTTGTACCAGAGCCCTGCTGATCTAAACTGACAATAATCCGTCAAAGCCAAATTTAGTATCAAGTCCTAAGGGTCAGATTTAAAGAACGAGAGTGTGCATATACCTAGAAGGATGGTGGAAGAGAGGCTAGAATCAAGATTTCAGGTTTCGTTTACATCTTACCATTAAACCCTTTGCAACCCTGGCAGATCTATTGCTAAGGCTCTCAAATTACCCAGTGTAAATGGGGAGAGTTCTAACATTATAGGAATGTGATGCTTGAAAAATGCCTTGGAATTGCTGGATAAGAAGAAGCCCAGAGCAATGATGGCTACAGTGCTATTCCCTCAGGTCGGTTATTTATGCAGCTACTGAGAGTTTTCGGTGGAGAGAATATTCACTGGCTTTTAAGTAACCGTCTTAAGTAGTGAACAGGGCTTCTGAAGGTCTTTCTGCTCTGATCCCTGCATCTAGAGGAGCTAAGATCCCTGTGTTTGTGCATCACAGTTATAAAATGTTAAATAAAGACCATCCTTCCCCTTCCTAGGTGGGGAAGAGCCGGTGCTGATTTTTTGCTCCTTTACTGAGCTAGGTCTTCTTTTGTCAAGGTAAATTACTGCGAAAACTCTAAGTTATTTAGAGGCTCAGTGAACTGAGGATTGACAGAGAATCAAATGATACCTGTGTCCAAATGTATCCTCTCACCTTTGAGGAAAGTAGTTGAGTTTTGGTCAAGCCCCTGATACTCCACGTCATCTTGTGTGTTCTGTCCCTGGGCCGCTGGGGACGGCTTTTTCCTCCTCATGCTCCCTGCAGCCAGGGCTGCACAGCTGGCCTTAAGAACCAAGGTGCAGGGCGCCTGGGTGGCTCAGTTGGTTAAGCGACTGCCTTCGGCTCAGGTCATGATCCTGGAGTCCCTGGATCGAGTCCCGCGTCGGGCTCCCTGCTCGGCAGGGAGTCTGCTTCTCCCTCTGACCCTCCCCCCTCTCATGTGCTCTCTCTCATTCTCTCTCTCTCTCAAATAAATAAATAAAATCTTTAAAAAAAAAAAAAAAAAGAACCAAGGTGCACACAGGGGGGCCTTTCTTCTCCCCCTAATAGAGACACACCCAATCAAGTCTCTCTAAATTGAGCCCCTTTATTCA